AGAGAATAAAGAATTTGGACCCATTTTACACATTATTTTTTTTGGATTTATCATGAAACAAATAATCTAAGGTTAAAGAACAAAAAATTGAGAACTACTTAGAAAGAAGGACAAATATATAGAGTTCAAAAGTCATGAACATTTAAATAGACAACTATTCATCCAAAAAGTTGTGACGGAAAAATGTAATGAAATATAGTGAAGAGACGTATTTAGATGAATAGATGCAACTATAAAGACACAAAGGTAAACTGAAAAAATACAACTATAATTGAACAAATAGAACTGTCAATATTTTAATGAAAAGATGCGAGAAAAAGATACAATTTAGAAAAAATAACCGTCAATATTTAAATAGAAAGTAGTGATAAAAAGATACAAACGAAAAAAGTAACCGTGAATATTTTAACAGAAAGTTTTGATAAAAAGACATAACCGAAAAAGTAACCGTCAACAAAAGAAGTAACCGTTAATATTTTAACGAAGAGTTGCGATAAAAAGACACAGCCAGGAAAAAATAACCATCAATATTTTAACGAAAAGTTGCGATAAAAAGACAAAACAAAAAATAGTAACCGTCAATATTTTAACGAAAAGTTACGATAAAAAGACAGAACTGAAAAATAACCGTCAACGAAAAAAGTAACCGTCAATATTTTAATGAAGAGTTGCGATAAGAAGACACAAACGAAAAAAGTAACCGTCAATTTTTAACAGAAAGTTGCGAATTTCGATAAAAAGACACAACCGAGAAAAAATAACCGTCAATATTTAAACAAAAAGTTGCGATAAAAAGACACAACCGAAAAAAATATGTCAATATTTTAAAGGAGAATTGCGATAAAAAAGACACAAATATAAACAGTAACCGTCAATATTTTATCGTAAAGTTACGATAAAAAGACACAACCAAAAATAACCGTCAATATTTAAAAAAAAAGTTACGATAATAAAACACAACCGAAAAAATAACCGTCAATATTTTAACGGAAAGTTGCGATAAAAAGATACAAACGAAAAAGTAATCGACAATATTTTAACGCAAAGTTACGGTAAAAATACACAACCGAAAAAATATCCGTCAACGAAAAAGTAACCGTCAATATTTCAACGAAAAGTTGCAATAAAAAACACAACCGAAAAAAAATGGCCATCAATATTTTAACAAAGAGTTGCGATAAAAAGACACAACCGAGAAAAAATTACTGTCAATATTTTAACAAAGAGTTGAGATAAAAAAACACAAAAAAAAAATTAATAACCGTCAATATTTTAACGGAAAGTTGCGATAAAAAAACATAAACGAAAAAAATAACCGTTGATATTTTTACGGAAAATTGCTATAAAAAGACCCAAACAAAAAAGTAACCATCAATATTTTAGCGGAAAGTTACGATAAAAAGATACAACCGAAAAATATCCGTCGACGAAAAAAGTAATCGTCAATATTTTACCGAAAAGTTGCAATAAAAAGACACAACTGAAAAAAATAACCGTCATAATTTTAACGAAGAGTTGCGATAAAAAAAACACAAACGCAAAAAATAACCGCCAACTTTTATCGGAAAGTTGCGAAAAAACATATAACCGAAAAATAACCGTTATCAAAAAAGTAACCGTCAATATTTTAACGAAAAATTGCAATAAAAATACACAACTGAAATAACCGTAAAACAATAACCGATTTAAACGAAAGGTTGCGATAAAAAGACGCAACCGTTCAGATGTACAAATGGTATTTATTAGATTGCTATTATATATAGATTTATGTTATAAACAGTTAGTGGATTCTTACTCACGACTTAATAGCCGCTAATATGGATGGCAAAATCATTTTTTTTTTGTCAACCACACATTTATTAAAAAGTTCCTTGGTTGGTTGCCCAACTAAGAGGAGAAATGTTTACAAAGGTAGCTTCAGAAAATAAAAGTCTAGAAGAGCGGGCTAAGCAGTCCGCTTTTAAATTACAAGAACGAGAAATAAGGGAAAGTGAGAAAAAGAGAAAGGAAACACGTAGCAAACCAAACTCGTCTAGAAGGTTGGAGAAAGCTCGCCATTCGTCAGGTGACTGTACCATCGAGACCAATTCTGAGCAGTCTGATTCAAACGCCTGACAAGCAATCCTTCTTGAAAGGATATTCTTCATAGCCCAAATTAAAGCTTCTATTTTCGAATGGAGGGGTGAGGGCGATCTCCTAAGGCATTTTGCACCAAGCAGTATAGTTTGAGCAGTTCCCTGAAAACACCACCAACCTAAACCCATTGTTGGATCCGTAGCTTTCCATGAACCATCAAACCGACATCGTAATGATTGGTTTGGGAGTTCCGAAATTTCCGTAAATGTAATATTGTCGATCGGTTCCATTTGAGCTTCTTCCCACAGTAATTTCTCACTCAAGGCGTGATTGATGGCAAAATTATTTAATGGTGTTAAATTTCAATCCAACGTGTCTAAATATGTATCTATACAATATATCTGTCTAATTTTCCTGTGAAAAGATTAGGGTATTAGGTAAAGGAGAAAGAGAAAAAAACTAAAGAAAACAAAAATTAAAAACGAGGGTTCTCACGAATCGAACCCCACGTCTTGAAGCTTATAAAGTAAACATACATTACCACCAGACGATATTAATATAGCTATCTAATTTGATAAACATGTCGTATATATATATATATAGACACGTTGGATTGAAATTTAACGCCGTTAAATGATTCGTCACCCATGTTAACGGCTGTTAACTCGTAAGTAAGAAACCACCAACTATTTATAACATGAATACTTTGAAAGACAATATCAAATAAACGAGCTATTTTTATTCCAATTTAAAAACTGCATATATTAAACAGCCAAAATAAAATAGATATCGGTTTTTTGGGATTTTTCCCATTCTATATGTTAATTGTGTGTGTGTTTTTTACAAAATAATTGTGAAGGGTTGGGTTCAAAGTATATATCCTCCAAAGAAACCAGAATTCGTTATCCGTTCCGTTTTTGTAGGATATCTAATTTCTAATTTTATGATCCGTATAAGCCGAAAAAAATAATTGGATATCTGTTTTTTTTAATATTTGTGGATATCAAATCCGCTCTATTTAAACCAAAAACTGAAAAAATGCCATAAATTTGTAAAAAAAATTAATAATAAAGAAATACCCTAAAATACAACTAAACTAAGTTTTTATTCAAACTTTACCAAGTTATTTTTTCAAAATTACCACTACAACCATTTTTGTCCAAAAATACCACAAACACTAAAATGATTTTAAAAGTTTGGGTTTAGGGTTTGTGGTTAATTTTGTAGGGTTTAGGATTTAGTTCTGAAGATTTAAAAGATTAGTTTTACTTTTGTGATATTTTAAAATATTTTTAATGGATTTTTTTTTTAAAAAGTAGTGATATTATTTTGGGAGACTCACAAAAATGCCCCTTTTTCAATACCCTTTTTCAAAAATGCCCCCTTTGGCTGTTCATTTTTAAAAATACCCCTTTTTATGTACAAAATGACTAAATTACCCTTCTTTTAATAAAAGATATCACAAATATATAAGGAAATATAACAAAATTAGGTCCACAAAATACAAAATATTTTTTGGCGGGAAAAGTGATCCCGCAATTTTTCCCGCCAAAACACTTGTAAAGACTTGTAAAACCTTTAAAATACCTTGTAAAATTTTCCCGTAAAATTTTTTCCCGCCAAAAATTTTTTTTGCGGGAAAAGTGATTCCGCAATTTTTTTGGCGTTAAATTTTTGGCGGGAAAATTTTTGGCGGGAAAAATTTACAAGGTATTTTAAAGGTTTTTTACAGGGTATTTATAAGGTTTTACAATGTATTTTAAAAGGTTTTATAACGTATTTATAAGGTATTTATAAGATATTATAAGATTTTACAAGGTATTTTATAAGGTTTTACAAGTTATAAGGTTTTACAAGTTTTTTATAAGGTTTTACAAGTTATAAATACCTTATAAAACCTTATAAGTACCTTGTAAAATCTTTTAAAATACATTGTAAAACCTTACAAAACACTTGTAAATACTCTGTAAAACCTTTAAAATATCTTGTAAATTTTTCCCGCCAAAAAAATTGCGGAATCATTTTTCCCGCAAAAAAAAATTTTTGGCGGGAAAAAATTTTACGGGAAAATTTTACAAGGTATTTTAAAGGTTTTTACAAGTGTTTTGGCGGGAAAATTGCGGGATCACTTTTCCCGCCAAAAAATATTTTGTATTTTGTGGACTTAATTTTGTTTCAAATAAGGGTAAAATGGTCATTAAAAATTAAAAGAGGGCAAACTTAAAAATGGACTTTCAAAGGGGGCATTTTTGAAAAGGGGTATTGAAAAAGGGGCATTTTTAACAATTTCTCTAATATTTTTGGAACACAAACATATTTCAATAATATTTCTAAGAATTAGTTTTTTTTAATATGAACTAGCAAGTGAAAAAGCGAAATCATTTTTCTTTTCTATCAACTTTTGGTGAATTTTGGTTAGAGTTTATTTCTAACTTTTTAATATCAAAATATTATTAGTGGTATATTTTCAAACTATAGTAAATAGTAATGTAGTATTATTTCTATTTCGTTTAGATAAATCTTCATATAAGTTTTCAAGTTTTGAATAGTAATTCGAAATGGTTCTAAACAATAATTTACCAGCCCTAAATAAGATATATATATGGCAATCTATACAAGTGGACCAAAGTCCGACGTATATTATATTTGTTTATTATGTGTATATATATTTATGTTGTAAAAATCCAACACTATCTATCCTTTCACATTCACCACATCCCCACTAGAGAAAGAAAGAGATATTTGTCTCTCTCTCTCTCGTTTTCGCTTTCAGATTGAGTTTGACTCTTCGCCAGCCACCGCCTCCTCTCTCTCTCCATCAATGGCGACACCATACCTCTCCCTTCTACCTCTTTAAGTAAAAACCCTTTTTTGCTTTCTCTTTCTCTTTCTCCTCTCCAACACGCTTCATTTCTCAAAACCCTAGATTCACCAACAAAACCTTAATCTCTTCTTCTTGTCTTTATGTTCTTGTTTCTTTCATGTCCATATGGATTCTGGTAACAGTGGAAGCTTGCAATCTTCAAGCGATGACCATGAGTCTTCATCAACTGGTGCTCCACCAGATCACTCCTCTTTCTTCCTCCCTCCTTTCCAACAACCACCGTCTTCCTCCACCTTCTACGGCGACCCATCAACCCTCTCCTCTTCCTCCTCCTCCTCCGCTACTTATCTAAACTTTGTAAACAATCTCATCTCCGATGACATTCTTCACCAAACTCATCTCCTCCCTCCTCCACCACCACCACCACCTCCTCCTCCTCCCTCTTCTTCCCGAAACCCTAGAAAACGAACAAGAGCTTCAAGAAGAGCTCCTACCACTGTTCTCACCACCGACACTTCTAACTTCAGAGCTATGGTTCAAGAATTCACCGGCGTCCCTGCCTCTCCCTTCTCTCACCCTTTCTCCTCCACTACTCGCCGCTTCGATATCTTCCGATCTCCCTCCGATCCTCTTACTTACAACCCTTTTCGTCCAATACCTCAAAAACCTCATCATCAAACTTTGAATCCTTCATCTTCTTCTTTGCTCCACCATCATAACCACACAACTACTTCCATGACCTTTCCTGATCTGCCTCTCCCTCAAAATCACCAAGTTTCTACATTTCAATCTCTTTTATCTCATCAAAATCATCATCAAACAACACTTTCCTCTCTTCACGACCTTGACTCAATAAATCTCGGAGCATTACAACAAAATCACCATCCAACGCCTGATGATAACCACCATCTAATGATGAGGCAGTTCTCGGAGTTTGATCGCCGGCCGGAAAAGACACCGGAGATTCATAATAACATTTCCTCTTCTTCTTCAGCTCCGATCAAAGACTCATCAGGTACTACTACTACTACTACTACAACAACAACAGTTGATCCCTGGATTAGCCCTACAGATTCCAATAATTAAATACATTATTTTTTTTAATAATTGAAACCATATCTTATAATGTTTAAATCTAGTATCTTAAAATCAGATTGTAGTCACTGAGATTGAATTATCAGAATTTTTTTTATGAATGATATATTCCATCAAAATATTTATTCTCATATCTAGTGATTATACTCTGTCTACACGTTACGATGACCCATAATGGGGTATATGATTCTCTCCACATGTTGTATGTAATAATGTAAGTATCTATGTATATGTTTATACGTTACAAATTTGGCTCTTAGGTCTTGAAGAGAATCTAATTCGGATTTTGTTCGTTGATCTACAAGGACAGTTCACACGTGTAATGTGTTTTGTTCCATCGTTACTTTGACATATCTTCCCTCTACATATTATAGGTTTTGTAGTCTAACTAATGTTCCGGCAACTTTTATTAACTACTCTCCATCCCTGTCTGTACGATATAGAAAAACTAGGTCTTAGTATTTGTCCTCTATTTTTCCACGTAGTTTTGTTTTTTTTTGTTAAAGAATTTTCGATGTAATTTAGAAATTCAAAAATACACACATATTGCGTATACATGTTTTTTTTATATATAATGTATATATAAATATATGTTACATAGGAAACTACTACAAAATGAGATGTTTTCGTAAAATAATTTAGACATCTTGTTTTATGTGATTCATTTCAACGTTGAAAGTTTTGGCTCACCTTATTATTACTGCCAAAACATTTGCGGACAATGTATATTGAAGCTTGGATCCAAATGGATTTCTTTTTCCTTTTATTTTGGCTTTTTTTTTTTGGATTTTTAGTTTATGATTAACTGTTTTAACTAAATATAATTTAATTTAAAATAAATAAATTAAGTTTAACATTGTTTTTGCTTTTGGTCAGGATTCAGTTTCTTAGGATATAGAAAAATAAATTCATTTGAACTATATTAAAATACAGTTTAGTTTTTGGATTTGTTATTTTAGTTCAATATTCAGATTGGGTTAGTTTGTCCGGATTGAACATCGTCTACTATATATGTATCCCCTAAGATCTGTAAATTATGATGTTTTGTAAAAAATGTAATGGATTTTTCCATTGACATTACTTGAATTTATCTGAATATATATATCAGTTTAGAAACTTATATCAGGGTGTTGAATGTTTTCAATAGGTCTCTAAAATGGTATAACATTTGCATCTTTGTAATAATATTCTACTTATAGTTGGTACGGGAATGATTTGATGAGTACTAAGTTTTCGGGAAACTTTCTTCAATCACTAGATTAAACACTAATATTCTTTTTAACTATTTAAGTTTGAATATTCTGAGATGGATAATTTACTAATTACTCTCGATCGGGTTACATCACTCACAACTTCTTAAACATTACTCTAGCTTCCTCAGAGGGCACGAAGTCGTGCCATACATAAAAAAAACATTTACTGCTTTAAATATCAATAGTTAAGTTTTATATATATGTTTTTCTACACTACGATTAACAAACTCATCGAAATTTATTTACAGAAATTTTAATGTGTAACATTTCTATAAACTACCGGAATTCAATAAAGTTTAAGATAAGAGTTCTTATCCAGTTCAAAAAAAAAAAAAAGGTGTTCTTCTCAATGACATGCCAAAATAAGTCAACTTAACATATCTCTTTCCCTAGAAAGTTTGAATTTTACTCAATTTAATAACCAAAATTATGGTCTAACGCCAGATTTAGATGTCTAGAAAAATATTAACATATAAATCCACTTTAGCACCCATTTGATCACATATCAAAAGTCAAACCTATTAAAAAGCGGTGTTTAGGTTAAAAGAATAGTATATCAACTCGGTGTAATTCATTAGGTAATTTGTCCCTTTCTATTACAAATTTTACCTTCTTTCTTTTTGTTGCAATTTAGACTTACGTTATACACATTTAATTACAGAGAACTAAAGTAAACGCTTAAGAGAAACGAACAACATATGAATCGTCCACTAATAATTATAGCTTGTATCTCAGATACTCGTTGTCTTTGAGGTTTTGTAGCTGAGATGAGAACTCACCTCTTTTCTAAGTAACTGCCGTACCTCTTTTTTCTTAATATTGAAGTTCAATAATTTTGAAAGTTAATCTCCAGAATCTGTGAAAATTTATATATTTATTTTTCATTCAAACGTACATAATATCCAGCTCTAATATCCATGTTCTACTTCTTAATGATGCCATTTTTTACCCTTGAAATTATGTTAGAAACTCAATTTTTTTTTTTTTGGGTTATGGGTATTCTGCTTCAAATATTAAGCTATGAGTGAATAAATTTAAAGGTAGAAAGTTCATTGCATTTACTTTACTAACCTCTCATGAAGCAAATCATCTAAAAAATTGATTGCCTTTTGAGGATTTATTAGGGTGCTGGTAAGTCATTCCACACGGCGTTTTGTTTTTGTTTTTTCCTTTTTTTTTTAGGTGGATGATATGTTAGGTAACTTGCTTAAACCCTTTTGTAATTAGTTATTAATAAAGAGTGTATAGTAGAAAGTGTTCACTAAGCCTCCATGTTAGAGAAGAATGGTCAACTTTCTTTTCTTTGATAAAGGTCAATGGACAAATAGAGTCATCGCTCTATATACATGAAATTGAAAAGTATAAGAAGTTTGAATATTTCTTTTGATTAATTTGGTGAAACGGTCTTTTTAATGTCATTATTGACCAGGGAAGACGGTCGTAATACGTTTAGTTTGGTTAACACTAAATGAATTATTAAATTTAGACTCAATAATATACATATACGTACGTGTATGCATTTAGAAAACAATGATGAGAAAATGGCCGGGAGATCAAGTTGGATAGATATTGAGGGCACGATGAAGATATAATAATCATAAGCATTTGAGGTGATTTATGTCTCTTTCTTATTTGGAATCATTTGAAATGGCCCACGCCAGAGAATATTATTATTTCTAGTAATTATGAGCATATATTCATTTCATTTCGATACGACATCTCCAAAACAGGTTTACATGCACAGAAAACATCTTCTCATCTACATGTATATTTATATTGTACATGTAATCTAATTAGAGTTTGTTTAATAAAAAAGGAATCTATAATTTGAGACCAATCGCCAAAAGCTTAAGTACGTAGAACTAAGAATCAAGAATGTGATAAGTCTCAAGTTTAGTACTTTAATTTAGTGGGAAGCCTATTTCGTTGACAATTTAAGTACAACTCAAAACATAAAATGTTCGTTTGTCTAAGTTTTGCGACGACGACCACCTAGAGAGATAAGTAGTTGATATTGTAGGACGGAATGGTGAGGAGTAACATTAATTTTTCTTACGTTTATACTTAACTTTTCACTAAGACATTTGCTATCTCCCTCAGCTCCTTTCATCTCAAAAGTTGGTTGATCAGCTCGTACTAGATCGTGGGTCGACCAGGGATGAAACATTGAGCTTTTACATTAGTTTCGGTAACCCTATGAATTTTTTTTGGTGTAACTCTATGTACGGGCGTGTCATTTGATGGGTCTTTACAACGAAGCCTTATGGAGATTGTGTAACTTTTTTTAATTCTCTTGCTTTCAATAGAAAATTAAAAACGTTTTATCAAAGAAACAAAATTTTTAGAAAACATAACCGTCTAAATACACATTTTCAAATTCATTCTATTGTAAATAAATTAAGGAACTCTTTACCAGAAAAATAGATAATATAAAAATATATATGAAACTCTAGAAAGCCAAATAGAGATTATAGATGGTAATCCCGTATACCCATAAGAACCTTTTCATATTACAAAAACTCCACCATTTGTGATAGTTTTCTTTATTGCTTTCAATTAATAAACCCTACTCAAACAATCTTATTTGTATTTGTTGTACTAACTTTTGACTTATTTTGCCTCGTTGGACTTACTTTTTCTTTTGACCCAAAAACATTTGTTCACTCCCCCTAGGCTTCTTCTAAGCATATGCAATCTCTTAGCAAGTCTCTAGCTAACCACACATGTTTTTTTTTGGGTAAAAAACCACACATGTTACATGTCACTGGCATGCTTTGTTTGTCCATCATCTGTCAGTTCTTAGCATACGTCGAGCTAAGATCTCGATACAGCCACTGGTTTAACATCATACGTCCCATCTAGAACTTACATCATTTTAGTTTTGTGTATGACTCCCCTAGTTCTTTTGACCGATACACAAACCACCCTAGCATGTGTCTCAGCTTCTATCACTTTTTGTGGACTTTCTCTTCACCATGCACATCACTTAGCACATATAACATCTCTCGACCTTTTCTCTGTTTTTTTTTTTTAATCTCAATGTCAATGCCAACCTATACAACTACTAAATATCTTCAATGAGTTCAATGCATTTTTCAACAAATAGAACATTCAAAACTTACATGCATGTTTCAACTTAAGAAGTGTATATATATATTACCTTTTGATCATTAACTTGCTTTAAGACATTATCTAAAGTTACGTTAGAATACATGAAGTACCGTACATACGAGAAACATAAACCGAATTTCCTTAATGGGCTTCGATTTCACAAATGTAATGAATTGTGTGAAAAGGGAAAACGTACCATACGAAAATTATTTACGTGAAAACCTGAAAGAAAGAAAGAAATGAAAGTAAGTTGCATCAAAGTTAGAGCTGGTTTCTCATGATGAAAACTTAAAAGAGTTATGCTGCAATTGGGCCATTATTTTTGTCTGCCTTAATGCTTTGTCTACTGAACTTCAACAACAACCCCACTTATGTTTTCCACTCTCCGATCCTCTCTCATTTTCCTCTTCCTTTTCTAGTTTAAGAAGAGAATACAACATGTTGAATTCTCTGAAGATATTAACTTTTATATACATGATTAAAAAAAATTATTGACTAGGTTTTTTTTTGTAAATCTTAAAGATATCTTATAAGAAAAAACGAAGCCAGTTGGATCATGGAACAATTTATATACTATGTCCAAATGTACACCCAATACCTATTATTATCCCTCAAATAACGTATCAAAATCAATGAACTCAAGTTTCAAAAAAAAAAAAAAAAAAAAAAAAAAAAAAACTCAAGTTTCAACATTTTTTTATAACTTCATTTTCTAAGACTATTTACAAAAAAAAATTATTCATTTTTTAAAGCCTCAGCCTCAGCCTCCGAGAGCTTCCACTTTTCATGGGCCAGACACCGACATATGCTTCTGCAGGCCGTCAACTAATCAATCATAGTCCACAGTCCAACATCCTTTCTAACATATATCATTTATATTTGGCCCAAAGTTTAATTGGATTTCAAACACTTCTGGCCTCTCTCTAAAACTCTCGTCAACAATGAAAAATTGTGGAGCCGTATCATGTTACTGCAAGGTGAACTGGAAAAGGTAAATTGAGAAAACGCTAACCATATTTTAGTTCAAGATGATTCTCACGTACTCTTTCTTTTTGGTCTCTAAGTAATTTTAAAACCGCAATAAAAGTTTACAAAAGCAGGAAAAAACAACTGGAGTCAAAGCTTGCAAATGCCGACTAACATAGACCGGAATTTCAAGAGACATGCAATAATTTGGTACCATATATAGTGAACTGAATTTTGTTAATTTGTTGCCAAATTTCCTATTATAAATACAGTTAAATATGCAAAATTGTGGTATGATTTGTTGTAGGAAATTAGCAAATGTATTTTTTCAGAATTTCACGTTAACGATATAGACTAAACAAAGTGATTGTAATGGCATATTATATAATAAAATACAAACTAGATAACAACCCGCATTATGTGCGGGATGACATGATTAAAGTAAAATTTATGATAAAAATTATTATCCAAGATCCAAGATCCGTTTGTGTTAAACGAAACATGTTATAATTTTTTTTTGTTTTATTCAAATTTGGGACTATTTCATATAAGAGTATGTTTTACCCGTGAAATATTTGAATCTTGAATAAAGCTTCAATGTGATAAAGAAAGTATCGAAGAAATGTTACCATATGTGGCAATATGCCTTTCCGTATGTTTTAAAGATTTCGAGATTTTGTAGTATAAAAGAAAAATTTTTTTTTTATTGAAGTATAAGAAATCCAAAAATTTAGCAAAGATGAGATTTGATAGTTTCCAAGTTAAGATTTTGTAGTGTTCCAAATTTAAGATTCTTAGATTATGAATGGATTATTTACGAAATGGTTATAATGTGACCAGATTTTGGTTTATATATAAATGTGGTTATATTGTTTTTCTTCGAAAAGTTATAACCCCTCCAAAAAAATGGGATTTTAAGTATTCGTAACTTAAATAGAAAGGAGATTATCTTATTTATTTAAGTACAATAGATATAAAATTTTATGAAAGATTTAGAGATTTTGTAGTTTTGAATTCGAGATTCTTGAACCAAATGTATGTATTTTATCATTTAAATATAAACATAATTAGAAATATAAATAAAAAGATTGTTTACCCATAGGCTGGAGAAAATTTATATAAATGTATATAAAGAAAAATGTAAAGATAAAGACTTATTAATATAAGATAAACAAAAAGTGTATATTTTTTAAATATTAAAAATAGATTATTAATCGAAATAAATAAAGCTCTCGTGGTTTGTTGTTAAATATAAATATGAAGATTAGTTGCCTAATTATTTGCTTTTTAATTATAATTTCATTTTTTATGTGTGTAATATATGTATGTATTAAGACTAATGACAAAATCTGTAAATAGTCTACTAAACTTTGGGTAATAATTTAAATAGGTGAAAATAACTCTGAAAGCGACATGTCAGCATGATAGTTTAGTTAATAACACGTCAAGATAAAGTTTATTTTTTAAAGTGCTTCTCTATTAATATATAAGGGATTAAATGTTTTTTCTTAGAAAATTAGCCTTTTATTACCAAGTGACTTTTATGAAAGAGAACAAAAACACTGCAAGGAGTTCATCGACTTGAAAGTAGCGGTATTTCCAAAGTAAATAGTTTAAAAAACCGTAGAAATTAGGAGGTCTTGATCTGAAGTTCGCGGTTATTTAAAAAAAAAGACTAGTAGCAATTACTCTCTCGGTTTCACAAAGAGTGTCATTTTGACACATTTCACACAAATTAAGAAAACATTGAATTATACATATATGCCCCTATTAAATAAGTGATTAATGATTTAAATTCAATGAGAAGTAGCTTAAAGTTAAGGGTAAATCAGGAAATTTTGTGTAAAAGTCACATTGAAAATGTAGAATAACACTCTTTGTGAAACAAAAACCAAAACTCTAAAATGACACTCTTTGTGAAACCGAAGGAGTATTATATTGCATAGTATGAATGAATGCGATGAGTTGATGACCAAAGTTATCTTTAATTACCCTTGCCGACAAATTAAATTGACCCAACAAATTTTCTTTATGGTGGAGTCTATTTGATTCTGATAATTAGCTATGATTTTGATGTTCTTCTTATAAAGTTTACCCACCAAATTATTTAATCATTTTTCTAAACCCAAACGTGTTCGTTTCTTGTTTGCTTATGTCTCTATATCTTTTTGCCCCTCAAGTCTCAACTCTTCTGTCTTTCTTTTTCCCTCACCTGAATCTTTGATTTACCATCCAAAGTAATGGGGAAAGTAAACCTAGGATTCTAACTTATTCTTAACGTCTCCGCTGAGGCGTTGAATATGTATTGATCATAATTAAGTACTTTAAAATGCTAAAGTTAAAATCTTATTGATTCGTATTAAAAGGGAAAGAAATAAAAAGTATTATATTTATGTTACCTTTTAGTTCTCCAATCGTATATATGGATTGAAAAAAAAAAAGAAATATATTATGGGAAAGTATCATCAAAGTATAACCAGTTTAGCTAGTTGTGGCCATTCTAAAGCAACGTCAAAGTATAGGTGTAAATAAATTTCTTCATTATGATACTTAGGGCATCATCAATGGGGGATCATGTGAGGGTGTTCTTATAGAGAATATAATGTTAAAATAATATAAGATCATGTGTTTAGATCTTTTGTTTAGAATTTGATTAGTGGGAGAACATGTGTAAGATCTTAAGACTTAATAATATAATAATCTAAATTAAATTAAGATTTTACAATTATTAAAACATTTAAAAATAACATATAAATTGCAAATGCCAAATTTATGAAAAACTGAAAATAAAAGTGAAAATACAATACTAAATATTTATGAAAAAAACATTAAAAATATAAATAACAATAAACAAACAAACATATTACTTAATAAAAGCACAAAAACATTTTATCTAATTAATACATAGTTTATTATCCAAATTTATTCCAAATATGTTGAATATTCCAACCAATGCCCAAATGCCACGTCACCCCGCAACACCCACAAGAACAGATCCAGGTCAAGAGCCCAGTTCCTGATCTTAAGCTCATTAACCCATTTTTTTGGATTTAAATAATGCTTAGATCAGGGGGGGTGATCCCCCAATGCAGATGGTCTTAGAAGGAATGACATTCTTACGATTTTAAATGCAATTAAGTTTGAGTTAATTGGTGAAATAGCAGCATAAATTAGAGAAGTAGCACTATAATCTCATAATTAGGTATTTTTGTTAATGAACAGAGTGACAAAAAAACTTTTTGGTACAAAGCAAATTAATTAGCTCTAATATAATTTTTTATTTTAACGTCAACTTTTTTCTATTTAATAAGAGATATAACTTCATTTTCTAAATATTTAGCACAAAAATGTCCTTAAATTAAAATTCATAACTAAGGTACCCTACATTAACTTTGAAGTGACTTGTTAACTACGGACCAATTATGGAAATCCACAGTTGAGACTTTATTTTACTTTAAAAGGAAATGTGATGTTAAGAAAGGTAGCTGTCACAACTAGGTAGTAGATACCTTGATAATATTTGTATAGAACATTATGACCTTATAGTATTGTTTAGGAACACAAATAACAAAACCTAGTGTTCCCTAATATTTGTAAGAAAGAGAACCAATCTTTCTTTAAGAAAAATATTGGAATTTCGAGTTAAATCCCATATTAATTTTTATAGTTTTTTGTGGCAAAAGATTCCGTATATTTGTTAATTCCGATTTTTTTTGTCATCTGTTATATTATCATTCGAAAATACTTTAATTTATTTTTTATCTTCTTACAAAAAAAAATTATTAAAATAAGAAATTTTTAAAACGTTATATAGTTGTTTTAAGAAGATATATTTTATAAATGTTATTTAAAAAAAAACTTAGATGTTATTATAGCTGGAAAACTAATCATAAATTCGACAACTACATGACTGCTTGTTTGAAGTTAAAAAAAAACGACAAAATAAATAATCGTATATAGATGATTTAAAATACATCTTACAACTAACTTAGATTTCTTTTTAACTTAGATGCTACTTAGAATTGCGACGCCGATATTTGCGATATTGGATAGATCATAAGAGACTCTCATAAGAAGAGGTCATACGATGGTATTGTAGATGAATTGTTTTAGTAGGGGTCGTTTCAAGAGTTATCTTTTCAACATGAGTCAATTTGTGCAGAAGTATTATTGGGGCATCAAATTAAGAAAAAAACATTAGGGCTGCATGTCATAGACAACCGAAAAATAAACTTTGAAATGGGTCTTCAATTGTCAAGTATTTACAAGAAAACCAGCGCCTCTGTCCCTACTGCGCGTGAGCAAGAAATATCTGACCTTACACATAACCGAAGGAACAAACTGACAAGTCATAAATGCCAAATAGTTGAATTGATTGTTATCTAGCGACAGATATACGAGGTGACTAGCATTTAATGAAGCAGCTCCATGTTATTTTTTTCTTCCAGATCTAATATCTTATGTAGATCTTCATTTTGATATGTCAGGAATCTATTTTTAGACATCTAAGTTTTTAGACATCTAAGTTTTAGACATCTAACCCCTTTCCCGATCCACTTGTAGGTCTACTTGTTTTTGTTAGATCCATTTTTAGACATCCACTATTTCTTATAGATCTACGAAGGGGAGATGACAACATGCAAGTTAAAAATGGAGATCCACATGAAATTATGAATGTCTATATGTAGATCTAAGTAAAATAAGTAGAGATACAAGTGGATCTCGAGAGACCTAACAGAAAAGTTTAGACTTTAAGATTGGAAAACACCAGTCGAAATTATAGTGAAATAATTGAAATGAATCGGCAGAGATAAGAAGCAAAAAACAATGACCGCCTCGTTTTAACAACTAACTGCTTACCGTCGAAGTAAACCAAGTTTTCAGGCAACCGGAGTGAATGGTGTTAACGGTGGCGTTTGGAAGCGTAATCGGAGGAGAGATAGAGGCTGGGAAGAAACGACAAAGAATATAAAGAGACTTATGGCCGAATTAACAGATCTACAGCGTCAAGCGCGTGAGGACAAAATGGGAACAAACGTGGGCTAAGTTTTACTAATGTCTTGGACAATTTCCCATAACCCCGAAAATTTAATTTGGCCCAGATCCGTTACCTTACACCTAATTATCTCTTTCAACATTATGTTGCGAAGTTAGTCAAGGCTACTCATAAGTCATAACCCACTTGTCTAGCTCCACATCACAAACTACAATGGAAACAATTTGAGCAAATAAAAAGAGTACATATCTTAAGCCAATCTTCCACTTCCAAACAAGGCATGCCAATCATTATGTGTGTTAAATAACTAGTAGGCTTTTTCTTATCATATTTATCATGCAAACATATAATTGTACCAATTGTTGAGCCAAATTAGTGTTTCAGTTGTACTCACTTATAAATTTATAAATGGTATGTTTAACTATAAAGTAAACAATAAAAAACTTACATATATATATATATATATATATATATATATATATTTCCTTTAATAAACATCCTATAACATTACAAGACGTTTTATCCATAGCAAAAAAATAACATTTTAGATTAAAAAATCTTTCAAAACTAAAAATAACATAAAAAAAAAAAATCTTTCAAAAATTACATTTTAGATTTTCTTATTTATTTTCTCTATAACAAGATCCTATGAACATTACAAGATAATTTACGTACACATAACAAACCCCACAAAATTTAAACTTTAATTAAAGTTTTTAAAATCGACATTTTAGAAATTCTTTACGCTTAGAATTTAGGTTGTTACATAATCCAAGTAATTACTAAAAGAAAAAAAAAACGTCAACGTATCTTTATCTTAAAGGGTAATTTGTTGAAGAATATCCCATGTGTACAAAACAACCAAATATTTCAAAACAAATCAAAAATAAGTAAAACCGGCAACAGTAAGTAATCCTCCAACTAAAACCGCCACCTGTCCAATCCGATCACATGCCAATAGAATAATATAAAGTATTTTAATTTTCAAAAAGTATCCAATAAGATCAAAGGCGGTACTTGATTCAAATATTCCACCAGTAAGAATACAGAGACAGAGCGATAATCCTCTGTGTCACAGTCTATATTAATAATAAAAAATATATACACAGAGAATTAAAAAACCATTTTTTACAAAGTTTTTTGAAATTGAAGAAGAGTAGCTACCACTCCACTCTTTTCGTCTCTCTCTCTATATACATCGCCATTGTTGTTGCATTCGAAGCTTTTATAGAAGTAATCTCTCTTTTTTCTCTATTTCTCTGTATTACTTTCTCTCTTTTTTTGGAGTTTTTGTTGATTTATTTTGGTGGAGAAGAAGATGGAGAAAAACACACCGGTGAGGAAACCACACATGTCGACGGCGGATCTATTGACTTGGCCTGAGAATCAACCGTTTGAGTCTCCCGCCGCCGTAGCTTCTCGCTCCGCCGCTAGATCGCACCAGGTAACTTACTAATTCAGTTAATTTCGCGATCTATGGATATTATTAATTTTGTTAATTTGAAATTGAGGGAAACAATCTCAGCCGTTGAATAAAATGTTTTAAGTTAATTTTGTTTTTGTAAATTTGAAATTTTGATTCGTTCTGATTATTGATTTTTGTAAATTTGAAATTTGGGGGAAATAATCTCAGCCGTTTGATTGATTAATCTAAATTAATTTTACTTAATTTGTTAATTTCGCGATCTACGAATTTGAAATTGGTGGAATTAATCTCAGCCGTCGGATGGAATCAGCAAAGTTGTATTTGGAGGACAAGTTACTGATGAAGAAGTTGAGAGCTTGAACAAGAGGTGAGAAAGATCTGATGATTTTTTATTTTTTTTTTACGAATTTTAGAAAATATTAATCAGGTAAAAAAACAAAACGGTACGATAATTAATAAATGCGAAACAACAAATAAAGTACGAAGAATCTGTCAATTTGTTAACAGATGATCCTGTCGTTATTTTGGACCGACCCTATAGAATGTTTTTTTTTTTTTTGGTAGGAAAGAGTTTAATTGCCATAATTAATGTCCTTAATTATGAAGCATATTTGGTATCTCTTCAATTTTAATTTCCCTTTTTTTGATCTTCTTCTTATCGTTCACGCTTCTCTAATTTTGTCTTTTTTCTCCTAATTTTATTCCTTTTTTGGTAACTACTGATCCAGTCTAATTATGATTCAAAAAACCCAAAATTTTGGTCTTTTTACCATTTATAATTGTTACTTGATTGAATTTGTTGTTAATGTTTTGGCAATGAATTTGATCGTAGGAAGACTTGTTAATTGATTCAATATCCAATAAATCTCTGGTTATTTCTGGTTTAGTTTGGTTATTGTACTTGGTTAAATATGGATGTATTTAATGAAGCCTATATCTTTTGATGTTTTGGTTGTGTACTCCAAAATCTTGTTTTTTTGTAGAAAGCCTTGTTCAAATTACAAGATGAAAGAGATCACAGGGAGTGGAATATTCTCTGTGTATGAAGAAAATGATGATTCTGAGTTAGGTAGTGCTAATCCGGCGACTAACGGCAAATCAAGAACATTCCAGGTTTGTGTGTTGCTTATAGAGAATTGGTTACATTTTGTAGTTTGCTTTGATCACTTTATGTGTTTGGATTGTTTTAGCAACCACCAGCAGCAATTGTGAGTCACATTTCGTTTGGGGAAGAAGAGATTGTTACACCGAAGAAGCCAGCAACGGTGCCAGAAGTGGCGAAGCAACGTGAGCTCAGTGGGACATTGAAGTATCAATCTGATGCTAAGCTTAATAAGCAATTCTCAGATGCTAAGTGTAAGGAACTAAGTGGTCATAACATCTTTGCACCACCACCTGAGATCAAAGCTCGCCCTACTGTTCGTGCTTTGGCTTATAAAGACAACTTCGACTTGGGAGAATCCGATACCAAACCCGTAAAACGCCTCTCTAAACTTCTACTTACTCATATTAGTATGTCTCTACTCATTATTGTCAATCACACCAATGTACTAATTCTTGCAGGATGGGGAACTGAAGACGGCCAAGAAGATTCCGGATAGGAAATTCATGGATTTGTCGGGAAACAACGTATTCAAAGGGGATGCTACGTCTCCCTCTTCAGCCACGGCTGAGAAGCTTCTAAGCACGGCGAAGTTGAAGGAGATAAGTGGCAATGACATATTTGCAGATGCAAAGGCTCAGTCTCGTGACTACTTTGGCGGTGTTCGTAAACCACCGGGCGGAGAAAGCAGCATTGCATTGGTCTAAACCCACTCTACCAATAATAATTATATAGCCCAAGATTAAAGTTCTCTACAAAAACTTAGAAGGTTCTAACTATTTATCTTCATTAATAGATAATGTACTTTTGGATGTTTTTTATTTCTATGTTTCCGGATTTGTGTGATTGAATGGTTATGAAATGATCGAGATAGGCAAAATTGATCGGATTTTGTTACCGGAAAGCTAATCTGGTCTCTTAGGACTATGTGGAGTTTATTTGTTTTTGTGAGTTCAGGACTCATTGTTTTGGTTTGTCTCTGTATTTGTTGCCAACTAATTGTTGGGTACTTGATTGATTTTATTGATTATTTTGGGGCTAATCTGTTATTTAAGAAAAAAGATTGTAGACCGTTTCTGCAAAAGCTGTCTTACACGTTTGGTGCAGTGGGTAGGACTGAGAGCAGATACATAAGATTGGGAAGTCTGTTTCTTTTTTGGAAAGGAACCTTTGGCCCTGGTCTGTCTCAATTGAGAAATCTATTTATATAATGACATTTTGAAAAAATGTGTTGCTTTAATAATTCTGTATTTTATGAAAATTACTTTGTTGTATCTTTTTAGTATGTAGTAGTATTTTATAGGGAGTCAAACTAAAACTGCAAAAAATTAAAACTGGGTATGGAAAGCAAAACTTTTGGAAATGCGTGTAAATATTTCAAGAGTGTAAATTTTTTTTTTTTTTTTTTTTTTTTTTTTGAAAGTTTAAATTTGTTAATCAACAAAAGAAAAAAAAAAATACAAAGAGTTAGGGATATCTTGGTTCGATTTGGAACTGGTTAGGGAACCAAAATCAAAACCTTACAAAAAGATTAAAAGGGTGGCTGAAAATCAAAAGAGAAAGAGAGAGAGTAGTGGTTACTAAACTTTGTTTTCGACAATACATATCTAGTACTTAAGTATTAAATAGTTCAACTAAAAATAATTTATATCACTCTTCAAATTTCTTAGGATTAAGTGAATAAAATTTTGAGAAATTTTGGTAAATGGCAAGATTTTAAACATTAAATAGTTATACACTAAACTATTTCCATGTGAATTACTATACAAGTTAATCTAAATTTAAATTTATTACATGAACGTTAAAAATACGGTCGAAATCATGCATATGATGTTTTTTTTTTTTTTTTTTTGTCAACCACACATTAATTAATAAATAACTCTTTGATTGGTTGCCCAATTAGGAGGAGAAGTGTTTACAAAAGAAACTTCAGAAAGTAAAAGTCTAGAAGAACGGGCTAAACAGTCCGCTTTAACATTACATAAACGAGAAATAAGAGAAAGCGAGAACAAGGGAAAGTAGACACGGAGCAAACCAAACTCATCTAGCAGGTTGGAGAAAGCGGGCCAATCTTCAGGTGACTGTATCATCGAGACTAACTCCGAACAATCTGTTTCAAACACCTGACAATCTATCCTTCTTGAAAAGATATTCTTCATAGCCCAAATTAAAGCTTCCATCTCCGAATGAAGGAGAGAGGGACATCTCCGAAGACACTTCGCACCGAGCAGAATTGTTTGGTCGATTCTTTGAAAAACCACCATCCTATACCCATAGTTGGATCCGAATATTTCCAAGAGCCATCAATTCGACATCTTATTGATTGAACTGGGTTTTCCAGAACTTCCGTAGTAGAGCTAGTTTCGACCGTTTCCAATTGAGCTTCTTCCCACATTAATTTAACGACATTAGTGAACCGTTAACGACATGTTGATTAGGATTTCTTCCTCCACATCAAAATTTATGATTGATTGATTGATTCAGGTCAAAACAGTTCAATAAAGGGACAATAAATTTGTCAAAAGTTTGTGTAAACTTGAAGTTTTAAAAATACTTATAAAAATCGATTCTTATTATTTTATAAGGTTTGAAGAAGTTTTATCAAATTTTATAAGAATTTATAAAGATGTTTATAAAAATCTCAAATCATATATTTTCCTCTAAACAAAATAGTCTTCTCAAAATCATAAAAACTTACACTAGAACTGCAAAATTTCAAATATCATGAAGCAAAACAAATTTGATTGATTGAATCAAGTCAAAAAATAACTTCAATAAATTTGGTGAAGATTTTTGTAAATTTAATAATTTGAGTATATCAATGATATTGATTTATTGTTATGTGAGCATTACAATGATGCTTAGGTTGCTGAGATTTGCAACCTAGATTACTTTATGGCTACTATTCCACATTTGCGTAGAAATATATGAGAGTGTGATTAATTCTATCTTGGCTATTGTTTCATAACAGCCATATGCATTATTATTGTAAACATTAATTTCCTATAAAGTAAAATCTTAAGTTAAAAGTTTATTTTGCTTGTTTCATACTTGGATTTCTTATATTACATTGTTGCTGCATGATGACATAACTCGAACTCCTTTAAATGTTCCTCGAAGTGCATCTATTTCAAATTTTGTAAATTATAAAATTTAGTGGGTATTTAAACGGATATTAGAAAACTTAATAATTTTTAAAGTTTTATAAGTGTGCTTATAAATATTAAAACTGTATTTTAATAAGATTTGATAAATGGGCATTATAGTTTTGTTTTACAAAGTTTTGGAAAGACTTGTAAAACTCAATTTTTTTTTTTTAATTTCATAAGGTTTGAAAAGGTTTTATAAAATTCATAAAGTTGTTTATAAAAATCTCAAACCATATCCTTTTTCTCTAAATGAAATAGTCTTCTCAACTCATAAATTCTTACACTAAAACTGCAAAAATTTAAAGAACGTAAAGCAAAAAAAATTTAATTGATTGAATCATGTAAAAAAATCAGTTCAACAAATTTGTTGAAGATTTGTGTAAATTTGAATCTTTTATATTGATAATGTTACTTATGTAGTATATCAATGGTATCACGTTGATGTTATGTGAGCATTACGAGGATGCTTTAGAAAAATGATAATTCAAACTTTACTTGTTTGATGGATAACCACATGAGAAATATGGGCAAAGATAAGATTTTTCCTAAAGAACCTATCAACGTATATGAATTAAATCTTTGTTAGTGTTACTAATGCAATATATCAATGATATTTCTTTGCTGTTATATGAGCATTACGATGATGCTTAGAAAAAATGATAATTCAAACTTTACTTGTTTGATGATAATCACATGAGAAATATGGGTAGAGATATGATTTTTCCTAAAGAACTTATCAACAGTGTCGCTCACACTATATAAAGAGGACATACTGCAAACCAATATATCGAACTGACATGACAAAGGATTGGAAAAGATATGGACAATTTTTTTCAAAAAGATAAATAGTGTATGTTATATTCTATGAACATATGGCTAAAACTATTATATTCTATGAACATATCGCTAATACTTTTCTATTCTATGAACGTATGGCTGATACTATTATATTCTATGAATGTATGGTTGATACTGTTATATTCTATGAACGTATGCATAATACTGTTCTATTCTATGAACGTATGGTTGATATTGTTCTATTCTATGAACGTATGAATGTCTGAGAACGTTCTAGTGAAGGTATTTTGGGTATTTTTGGTCTATGTTTGTTTGTCCTAGGTAGAGCGAAACATTGAGAGAACGTGTAACTCCTGAATTTCTTTGATCTTAGTGAAATCTACAGCGGCAGAAAGTGGACGTAGTTCTCACATTGAAGGTGAACGACTATAAATGTTGTCTGCACTTTACTTTTTGCTTTAATTCGTGTTATTGAAGACGAATTTGATCCGTAATTCTTAACAAATACTAGTAAAAATCTTCTAAAGAGTCATCACTAAAATTTTTCATATTCAGTTCGATAAAAAAAGTTTCAGTAGAAACCATTACCAAGTGAAGAAGACAACAGAAAAATATAGTCACATTATATATCGATAGAAAGTGAATCTATACCTTACAAAGAAACCAAAAGGAGCTAGTATCTATAAGATCTTTAGTTTTTTGTAAGGAAGAAAGAAAAAAAGAAAATCCAAAAAGATTATATAAAAGAAAAAAATTACTAGCTATCAAAGTCATAATTATGGAGAAGACTAATAATTGTATCACATTTTCTAATTTAGAGTATTTTCTTTGAAAAATAAATTATTGATATGATAGATGAAAGAAGTGACTAAATTGATAAAAAAAATAAGAGAAAAATATAATATTATGTGTTTAACCTATTTAAAAAAATCCCCAAAAATGATCGAAAAGAAAAGTGACGAAAGTAAAGATTATGGTTTCGAATGGTAAAAGCGGTTCAAGCATTGCAGATCATGTAGAAAATGCCGGACAAGTGCAGATCATGTAGGACAAGTGCAGATCATGCAGATCAAGCAGTTCAAATATGAGTTCGAATGGTGAAAGCGGTTCAAGATGTGCAGATCAAATTATTAAATAATACAAAGTATTTTGGTTTATTGTTGATTTTATTCTATATAATTTTATAATATATTATGGTATGTATAAATAAAATTATATAAAACTAAAATATATTAATCTATTAAATAATTATAAAATATTAAACATAAAATATCCAAATACAATACATATGAGTAAAAAAAGAAGACAATACATAAGCAAAAATAAATTAAATTTAATGAAAAATATTTTGATTTGTCCATAACATATCAGCAATATTTTCTCTTATATTTACCATATGATTTCCATGAGGTATACCACCTCTCTCCATGTCATCTAGATCATTCTCAGAATTTACGTTGCTGGTAAGCACACTGTCATATAAGAAATATTTTTGGAGATTAATAGTTTTACATTTTGTTTATTAATACACAAACAATTAAAATTATAAGAATTGTTTTATTTATTTAAATAAAATTTAAAAATTGATTTATAATAAAATAACATACATAAAGTTGATTTACTAATTTGTTTAGTCTCTATATAAAATCTTGAAGAAAAAATTAGGATATAAATATAAACTACACAATCATAACAATTTATAAAAGATAACTTTATACTACACAAAAAATAAATAAATGCTATAATATTTATTTTTAATTTTGTAAAAAAAAAAATTACATTGTAAACAAAAAAAACAAGCAACGTAAGAAGCAAGAGGGAGAGCAAAATAGTCATCTTTTTTGTAGTGTGAGTGTAATGTATGAAGTACAAAAGAGTTTTTGTTCTTTTATAGAAAAAAAAGGATACTATTTAATTTTTTTTTATATATAAAAAAATATGGACTGCCGTTGAACCACTTCCACTAGCGTATGGGAGAGAACTGTCTCATTTGGCCTGCATTCATCACATAAAGACAAAAAAGTTATATGTATGCAGTCAGCCCACTTTTTAACCTTTTTTTTGCTGATTAGTAAGTCAAATACAGTTTATCTGTCCCACAACTTGAACTGCCAAATATCTGAAGCAACATTCAAAGCCTATGGCTTCGAATGGTAAAAGCAGTTCACTTCAAGCGTTGCAGATCATGCAGATCTTGCAGAAGATGCAGGACAAGTGCAGAACATGCAGAACATGTAGGACAAGTGCAGATCATGCAGATCAAGCAGTTCAAATATGAGTTCGAATGGTGAAAGCTGTTCAACATGTGCAG